TTTGACTCTCCATTTGCATGTTGAGCATATCAATAGTAAAATTATCCCTCTCGAATAGTTTAAATTTTTAGATGAATTAATGGTCAATAATTGAATATGGTATCATAAAAAATTATGTATTCAAATCTCACCATCTACCTGATAATTGTAATATTTATTCATATTTGACATGTTCTTAAAAGAAAATCTGACCATACATGAGAGAATATGTCGAGGATATAAATATTAAAATTACTTCCTCCTCTAACAATAAAACTGAATAAATTGCACATTATATACGTAGTTTATCTTATTTCTCAATAGCTAAGCTTGGAGAGAATTGATAATCAGACAAAGTTTGTAACCAAGGGGTTTAAGATTTTGATATGAAATTACAAACCGAAAGTGACAGCAAATTTATAGGGTTATAACGTTTTAAATTGCACACAGTCATGCAATTTTAAAAAAATTAAAAGAAAAAAGATTATCTGAACGAGAGCTCCAATGTTGGGTAGCTTAGATGGTGATGATGACGCCGACTAGATGCTATGCTATCCCTTTCTTATCACCTTCCTAAACAAAACTGGGGTACCCCATTATCAGCATTTTGGGATAGTCTTAACCCTACTTAATTGGCACAGAAATAGGGTTGACGGACGAGCCAAACAAGCGGAATGGGCCGAATAATTAATTATTTAAATTTAGTTTGAAAATTTTAAGGAACTTCAAAATTTGTTCAAGTTTAGATCGTTAAATTTTTGAGCTGATCTCAAATGAGCTTTTGTCCAGTCGAGTTCGAGTAGTTTAATATTTTTATATAATTTTAAACTTATTGAACCAAGCCAAATAAGCAATTGATTGTTCAAACTTGATTCAAAAACTTTGAAGAATTGTGTTCAAACTTGACTTGTTTACTTAATTAACTGAGATTGAACAAGTTTTTGATGAGTCAAATATGAGTCAAACTCAACCTGTTTGGTTTGTTTATCACTTGTACACAGAAATACAAACCATGAAAAATATATTTGAAATTTGCCCCGAAATGAACTTTATGATGTAGATTTAAAGTTTGTACGATGTGAGCCCCATCTAGAATGATGGTGATCCATACGTGTTTATCTAGATGATTTTCTATTTATTTTATTTTATTTTTTTAAATTCTAAATTTGTAGTATTGTGTAATTGGCATCCCATTTCTAAATTATAAGATTTGAAGCAAAACAACACATTTCAAATTGATGTATTCATTTTGTTTTTGAAAAAAAGAGAGTTAAGAACTGGTCCTTAAGTTTGTTTTTTTCTGTTCAAAATAAATAAATAAATAAAATAACTGGTCCTTAAAAGAGGATGTTAATTGGTAGCCTTAAGGGTTGGTTTGGGAAATGGGTTGGCTTTTTAGCTTTTTGATTTTTTTGACTATTTTAGCTTGGGCTAAAAAGCTTAGTTTGGGAAGCGTTTTTTGGCTTTTTGGTTTTTTTGACTTTTTTTGTGAGAGAAGAGTGTAATGATTATGGGTTAGATGTGATATTTTATTTTTTGTGACTAAAATAACCTATTTTGTAATAGCCAAAAAAGCCCCATATTCTTCTTTCCAAACAGTGACTTAGAACTCTTACTTGGTTTGGCGAGCATGTGCTCTAGGTTCGAGTCTATGGGTGGAATTAGGGTCAAATTATGATTCACTTTTCTGATAGGATCCTCCCTGAATTATGGATTTATGATTACTCATATCCTTCTTCATTCAAATTAAAAAAACAAGTGATAAGATCATCAGTTTACGGAATCATAAATCTTTATTAGTTTGGTAGAAATTGTATAATCAAATTAGAAAATGTGCAAGCTTCAACCAAGGAGTTAGCCTAGCTACAAGGCAAGCTTTGTTAAATCTCTTAAGAAGAGTGGTCACCAGTTCGAATTGTATCCAAACTTTATTAACTTTTTTAAGAAGAATGGTTATGGGTTTGAATTTTATGAAACACTTGATTTTTTTGGACTAAATCTATGCCCAGTAAGAACATCTCTAATCCTTTATTTTTTTATATTAAATTTAAATTTAATAAAAAAAAGTGCTAAAAAATTATCTCTAATCCTCTCATTAAATGTTTACCTTTTTATTTTTATTTTTATAATGAATTTGAGAACTTATCAAATCTTTCACCAAATTTGGATGGAGAAATATCAAAATCAGTGATATTTTTAAAAAACAATTAAAAATCAATGATAAACTTTATAATTATTAATAATTAAAATCTTTAACTTTTCCATGAATCTATAATTATTTTTTGAAAGTTCCATGAAATTGTAATTTCTCCAATTTGAATTTGATGAAAAATTATAAAGATAAAGCATTAATATTTTTTTCATCAAATTCAATGAAAAGATGAATTTAAAATAGAGAAAAAAAATTGTAGTAGAAAGGAAAAATTGCAAATTAGTGACAATTCCGCAAAATATTTACAAATTTATAAAAATAATTATAATTATAATTATTAAAATTAATAAAATTTTGGGAGATTTATTAGAAAATCTCTTTTTCAAGTGTTTGTATCCCAATTAGTCCATAAGATATTCTTGTTTTTCAATAAGTCCTATTATTTGAACATTTGATCTATAGCAAATCCTAATTCTAATATTTAAAGTATTTTATGGATATTTCTATCCTTACAAATATTTTTTGAATGGTTAGTAATTTTGTGATGTGAACATTCACATTTTACAATGTGAATATTTACATTGATGGTGCAAATATTCACATTGAAAGTGTGAACATTCACATCACGGAACATTCACACTGTAAATGTGAATATTATTAGGGGTATTTTGATAACTATGTCACTCATAGACCTTATTGGAATATAAGAAAATAATATGGACTAAATCGAATATAAATAGGTAAAAAAAGATTTATGAAAAAATATTCCTAAAATTTATCATTAATTTATTTTTTTTTTTCGAAACTATATATACTGATTTGCAATTTCTCTAAAGACTATCTATCCAAGATCAGTCAGAACAAATCCAGATGGTCTCAGGTATTGAACCATTTTTTGTTCACTGGTAAGATGATAAAAATAAGAGTTCAATTTTCTCAAGGCTACTTCGGTCATTTGGCATAATATGCCAATTGTTTACTGTTTATTCATCTGCGATGACAAATTTTTGTATGCTGGAGGTTACCAGTGGCATGTCAATTGTACTTTTTAGTGGGACGGTAAATGAATTGAATTGTTTGTGAATAGGTTCGGCTCTGTTTGTTAAGGATTCAGTTCGTTTAATAAGCAAGTCAAGTTTGAGTTTGAATAAGTTCGATTCGTTTATTTTTATTTAAATAATATGAATAATATTAAAAAAAAAGTTATCGAGTCGAACAGAGTTCAAATTTTATTAATATTAACGAGTTCAGCTGAGCTCGAACTCAATAAATGAGTTCGATAAACAAACGAGCCAAACTCGAACTCAGCAAAGCTTGGCTTGGCTTGACTCGAAATTAGTCCATAAGATATTCTTGTATTCCAATAAGTCTTATTATTTGAACATTTGATCTAGCAAATCCTAATTCTAATATTTAAAGTATTTTATGGATATTTCTATCCTTACAAATATTTTTTGAATGGTTAGTAATTTGGTGATGTGAACATTCATATTTTACAATGTGAATATTTACATTGATGGTGTAAACATTCACATTAAAAGTGTGAACATTCACATCACGGAACATTCATACTGTAAATGTGAATATTATTAGGGGTATTTTGATAATTATGTCACTCATAGAACTTATTGGAATATAAGAAAATAATATGGACTAAATAGAATATAAGTAGGTAAAAAAAGATTTATGAAAAAATACTCCTAAAATTTATCATTAATTTAATTTTTTTTTTCGAAACTATATATACTGATTTGCAATTTCTCTAAAGACTATCTATCCAAGACCAGTTAGAACAAATCCAGATGGTCTCAGGTATTGAACCATTTTTTGTTCACTGGTAAGATGATAAAAATAGGAGTTCAATTTTCTCAAGGCTACTTCGGTCATTTGGCATAATATGCCAATTGTTTACTGTTTATTCATCTGCAATGACAAATTTTTGTATACTGGAGGTTACCAGTGGCATGTCAATTGTACTTTTTAGTGGGGCGGTAAATGAATTGAATTATTTGTGAATAGGTTCGGCTCTGTTTGTTAAGGATTCAGTTCGTTTAGTAAGCGAGTCAAGTTTGAGTTTGAATAAATTCGATTCGTTTATTTTTATTTAAATAATATGAATAATATTAAAAAAAAAGTTATCGAGTCGAGCAGAGTTCAAATTTTATTAATATTAACGAGTTGAGCTAAGCTCGAGCTCAATAAATGAGTTTGATAAACAAACGAGCCAAACGCGAGCTCAGCAAAATTCGGCTCATTTGCAGCCATACCTTCCACTAATTATAAATATACAGAAATTTTTATATTTTGGTAGGGTATTATGTAACATTATCAAGCGATACCCTCCACTAATTACAAATACATATACTCTTTTTATCTTCCAAGCACCCAACACAAATGTGATGAATTTTACTATCAAATCCAAAGACAATAAAAGGTCGCCTAACATATGCCCTCCTAATACTAAAAAATTCCTCCACAAATTTTTATGTTCACTACTTTCTCTCAAACATCCAAAATAAATATAATGGATCTTATTATTAAATTCAATCTCAAAAAGAAAAAAAAACTACCTGGTAACATCTACCCTCCTAACGTCCAAAAATTCTTCCCTCTATACTTGTAAAAACCTGCGCAGACCTTAAAATAAAAAAATAAAAATAAAAATAAAAATCCAGAACAAAGCAGGCCTTACTACACCTTTTTTTTTTTTTTGAACAGTGGCCTTACTACACCTTCACATCCTCAATAATATAAACATCATCGCCACCAGTCCATCCAGTCAGTTGACCATCTCTCTCTCTCCTCTCTCCTATCCTCCCTCTCTCTCTCTCTCTCTCTCTCTCTCTCTCTCTCTCTAAGATTTCTAGCAATGGAGACTGATCCACCACAACCCCCAGAAAATTCGGACCAGGCACAGGCAGTAGTCAGCACCACAACAGATGATCAGCAACAGGGTCCAAGACAAGCTCAAGCTAGGTCATATGAGTGCACGTTTTGCAAGAGAGGGTTCTCTAATGCTCAAGCACTTGGAGGACACATGAATATCCATAGGAAAGACAAAGCCAAGCTCAAACAAGCCTCAAATTATCAAAGTTCTAAAACTCAACCTTTGTATTCTCCAAATCCAGTTCCTCCAAATCCAATCCAGATATCAGAATTCAAGTCATCAAGTGGTGAAGAGAATAGGTCAAGGAAGTGGCCTGGGATTTTTTCTACAGATCAAGGTACTACTGATCATCATCATGCAACTTCAAGGGATGATCATGAAACCCATTTGGGAGGAGGACAGCTGAGGCAGCTTCCATTGTTTGCTGAAACCGTGTCGTGGAGCGAAAATCGTGACCATAAGGGTTTGTCATCAAGCCATGAATTGGGGCCAGAGGTGGATCTTGAGCTTAGGTTGGGTCATGAGCCTCAACAAGACTCATCGACAGCAGGGACGGGTATAAAGAAGTTCTTTTAAATTTTGATTTTGTGGTGGTTTTTCTCATCCGCTATTGTGTGGATTTTTTTTTTCCTCCCCTTCTTTTCTTTTCCAAAACTTGGTCTAGCATTTGACAATTTCTTCATGTTGTTTTTGTCATTCAAAATCAGAACTTATTTATTTATTTAATCTTTTTTAAAAGAGAGTTTGTCGATACTTTGTGAATTTTTAGTACATGCAATTTAGAAGAGAATTAAAATGTTTTTTTAACAATTCCTTGCCTTGAAAAGAGCCTAGAAAACTCATGGATCAGTGAATAATAACAGAAAAAATCAATAAATCAAATAAATCTGATGCAAATTGATAATATCGCTGTATGAACTAGGGTTTATTTCTGAGGCCACAAACTATGAGCTTTGCTTCTGTTATGTGATAATTGAATGGTTCCAATCTACAAAATAATAAAGAAAATAAATCAAGCAAAGACAACACAAAATATATGTGATTTGTGTTTACGCAAGAGAGACGATCAAATCTACTATGCAATAAGAATATCAGAACTCAGAACCTCTCAACTCAATCGCTCAAACAACCTTGGCATTAAAAAGCCAAATATACAAACGCCTCACAACAGTTTCTTTAATTAAGCTGGTCTAAGCGAGCTTTTTTCTTGTCAAAGGTTCCAAGAACAATAACCTTATACTCAACTGCTACAAATTTTTCATAAGAATAAAACTTTATTTCTCTGTGTTTTTGTTGGTATTGTACATTCTTTTAGTAGCTGACTATCTTAGTTAGTGAAAATATTGCTCCCCATTTCATATTTAAATTGATAAAAATCATTTCAGCATTTCAATATGACTTTAATCTAAATTTTTTACGTGATAAAAATCATTTCAGCATTTCAATATGACTTTAATCTAAATTTTTTACGTGTAACAGTGAATTTGGCTTGAAGTTTAACCTGATAAATGTGTGTGTGTGTGTTTTTAAAATTTATTTAAATGAATATACCTTTGATGATTTAGAACTTCAAATACTCTAATTTCTCTTCACTAAGTTTTGAATATGTCGTTGCAAATAAAATTAGTTACACAACAATTACTCAGACAATGTTGGAAGAGACTTGGCAGAAGAAAGTCTTTATCTCATATTATTCTCATTGCATTCTCCTACTCGTTTTCATTCCTCTTTAGATAGATTGTATGACAATATATAAGATTCCAAGACAACTCTTGATATTTAATATTAAGACTACCCATTATAGACATAAAACTATTAACATTGCTTTAATATGGTATGAGAGCTAGTTTTTTGGATAGCCTTTTACCTCTTGTGGTATAATGTTCTATCTTCCAATTGGACCTTTCAATCACTTTCACGTGTTACTGGACTACACATGAGCAGGATTGTTAGACTTAGTCCAACATTGCCAATCTAAATAAAAACAAGCTTTAGTTGGAGTAGTTTTGGGGTATTTTTGGTTTAACATTTGGTGTTTGCCTTGCATATGATTGAACTTGTTTTTTTGATGTCAACTTTGTTAGGATCTATCTGTCTTGCTTTGATGTTTTTGTACTCACCTCTTTTGTACTGTTTTGATGTATTATATTTCTTGTTCGACAATTTTCATCAATAAACTTTATCTTTTTCCTGATTAAAATAAAATAAAATAAAAAATCATCAAAGCTTGATTAATACAATGTAAAGGCCTCTTCAATCTTTACCAATTGATTTCAAATTAGATGCTTTAACAGTGATACTAAACACTTCTGACAAACCACTCACTGATATAGTGAATGTAGAAAACTTCACTTCCCAAAGAGAGAGAAGCAGGTTCTTCGTATGTAATGTTATTTTTTTATTAGCGATAGTTAGTTGTTAGTTGTTTGTTGTTAACCATCTAAAAAAACGAATAAAAGCATTACATTTATTGTAAATATAGCCCACATCTCAGCGATAGGCAGTTGTTAGTTGTTAACCATCTAAAAAAATGAACAAAAGCATTACATTTATTGTAAATACAGCCCACATCTCATTAATTTTAAATTTATATCATACACTCACTTTTTGAAATAAAATTCGAGATAAGTTTTTATGATGCATAGCATTTATGGTTGAGTAAAATTGTCTTAGTTTTCATCATGTGGTCAATGACATAGAAACAAATATTTCTATTTTGTGTTATTTTGTTTATTTTTGTTTTGGTTGATTCCTCATTAACTTGGTATAGTGCTACTAAATGATTGAGTTTGTATTTGGTACCCATCTAGTTAGGATGGATTTGCATTGTTTTAATACTTTTTATACTCTCATTCCTTTATTGATGTTTGTCTTTGTAAAACATTATCTGATTTTCATTAATAAAATTTCTTTTCTTACTGATTAAAAAAAAACAACAATGCTAAGAAGACATAATTCTACCATAAAAAGTTTCACACAATAGGTTATTATTGTTAAATGCTAAGTTTAGTGATGAATATGGAATGCAGATTACCTATCCCATGCTCCATTTTTTACGTCTTGTATGATATTGGTTCCTGATTTTTTTTTTAATTTATTTATTTTTATTGCTGAGAAAAATAATCTTATAAATTAACAAAATTCAAAATGACAGCCAAGCATTTTCTTGGTTCTTGCAAAGCCCATTAAAGTTGTGACAAAACAATTAAAGCCCATTAAAATTTATCAGACCGGAGAACAAGGAGAACTCTCTATATCCATTCACTGGTTTTCTTCATCCTTCTTTGTCACAAGGTGAAAGTAAACAAAAATGTACATAAAAATGCTTGCAATATAAAATTATGATATATATTTAAGGAGAATTTTTTTAAGGTATCTGATATTAAGATTTTATAAGATAAAGAACTTATAATATTTTCATAGTAATTAAGGTCTTTCAACATTTCTACAGAGAAAATTTGACTTAGAGAAATTTTGTCCAACTCAGAGATTTCGAAATTTCTCTGTGATTATACAGGAGAAATTTTGAAATTTCTTTGAGTCATGGCTGAAATTTCTTTGAGTCAGGTGAAATTTCTTTGAATTGGGCAAAATTTCTTTGAGTTGAATTTTCTCTGTGAAAATATTAAGGGACCTTAGCTAATAAAAAAAAAATATCTTGAATCTTTCCTACTACACAAAGTTGGAAAGGGACGTTTCACTAATTTTCTTTATATTTAAATATGGTGTACTTTGGGTCACATTCACAACAAATTTGATCTACATATTTAAATATTAAATATTTTTAATATACATTTTTTTTGATCAGTAAAGAAAAAACTTTATTGATGAAGAACACATACATTACATATGAGAAACCATCAATAAAGATGAAAAAGAAAAAAGAAAAAAATGGAACAAGCATAATGTTGTTGAGAAACCAACACTAGCTAAAGCCAACACTTGTTGCTACCCAAAAACTAGCTCTACAAAAGCTTATAACCTACAAGAGCATTCAGACTTTAAAACCACCACACTTACCACACACTAACCTACAATCTTGCTTCCAACTCTTGATACTATAAGCCAAAAAATCAATTCTACCTCACTACACAAGCCTACCCCTCTTTGTTGATTCTCTCTTTATCTTGCAGCTCTAGCTCAAAAATCTTGTTCAGAATAACATCTTCTTTCCCAATGAAATTGATTCCGAGAGATTTTCCCAATTGAAGAGTGGCTTTAGCTTCTTCGAGAAGATAATTGTTCGGACTTGTAGTACCCTCAGACAGATCTGAAAGTGCTATAGCAGCTGCTACTGGTCGGTAGATAACAAATTTGGAGTTATGCTTGCTAACAGTAGCAACTTTATGCCCATGAAGTCTAGCAAAACTAGTGAATCCCTCTAACTGACCTTTCTTCTTCCTTTTTTTTCCTTCTCAATCCGTAGGAATTTTGGACATAAGCAGTTTGCCTACCTAGGCCTAAATGATTTAGGTTCAAGATGCCCTTCCCATTTAAGTTCTTGCTAAGTGCTTGTGCCAAATTTACTTCCAGATTGATGCCATGCCCAAGACCATCTCTAGGTCCACTAAGGCTTCTGATAATTCCAGGTGTAGAGACTTGCACCTAACTTTTTAGACTATGCACTGACTCTTCCATCAAAGATTTTGCTAACTCCTCTCCCGAGTGACAGTCAATAGGCCCTTTCCTTTGTTCAACCTCCTTGGTACATGCTTCATTATCTCTGCCGAAGCCTACATTTCATTTTGTCTCATTGACAACTGTGTTTACCATCATTCCGCTATTTGGGCTGTGTACTTTGGCTCCTACCACCTCAACATTTTCTTCCTTTTCCTTGCAACACTCCTCTGGAACATTTCCTTTCGCTTCACTGCCACAGATGTCGTTAGAACTACATTCTTCCATGCCATTGTGCTTTATGTTACTAGAGTCTGATAGAAGATCTTCACACACAAGAATGGGATGGAGTTTACCCTTACACTCTAATACTATAGTTTTGTTTATAAACTCCATACAAGATGTAACTACTCTGATTCTGGTATGGGAGAACACCTTTGGTTGACAAATATCTTCATGCGAACTAAGAACTGAACCCTATAGGCTTCCAATGCTGTTGAATGTGCTCATATTCCAGAGATTTAAGGGTATTCCATGATACCTCAACCACATACATCTCTCTTGTTCGATATGAACTCCTGGCTTCCATTCCACCACAAACTGAATCCAATACGTAAACCATTCCTTAATATTGCATATATTTGATTTCAACTCCTCTTAAGACTTGAAGGTTAAAACTATATTCCGTCCTCCCCCTTTTCTGACCAATACTTGATCCACCTCTTTTTCCTTCAGAGCATTTTCAATGTAGTGAGTGGGGTATTCAGTATTAAGCCTGACTATTGCACTATCATAGAGCCAGTCATGGCCATCATCATTGACTTTTAAGCTCAAATTTGCTTTCCCAGCCACAGTGGGTGAGACCCCTTTAAGTACCTCAGCAAATGACCTTTGGCCCGCAAAAGAAGCTTCAACCATGTTTCTGCTTGTTTCAACATGTTTCCTGAAGATCTGAGGCC